TATTATTATTATTGTTATTATTATTATTTTGTCCCTTGTTGAATTGAATTTAACAAAATTTCTTCACGCACCTTGTTAATAATTCTCCCTTGGAGTTTTATGTGAAGTTGTTGTTTGACGTTATCATCTTCGAGATCCGTTTTCTCAAAGTTCAGAGATATAACTTGACTCTCAAGGTTGTTCACTGTACTGTGAAGTTGTGCAACTTCCTTATGCAGTCTACCAACTTCATTTTGAGCTTCACCAAGCTTTCTGTGAAGAAATATAAAATATCCCATTACAGTTTTAAGATTTTGACCCACTTGTATTCCTAGTTTGATGTTAGTAAGTTAGTATGTTAGTACATGTATGATAAAACACACAACATCATGCCATTGTGTGACCGCTATATGACGACATGGCAGGCATGTGACGCCATGGCCAGTATGTGACGTCATGGTCAGTTTGTGACGTCATGGCCAATATGGCCCTCTCTTTCGTCAGTGCTTTGAAGATCTGTAATCAGCATTTTTAGATCTTGCTTCAATTAGTGATACGTGAAGGAACTTTCTAAGTCCTTTGTGACTCAAAGCGGTCAATAGAGATGAGGAATAGTGAATCCGTATCGAACTTGTAAAGGCGTAATTGATAACGTGGAAGAGTGTATTTCCCGTTTAGTCAGCTTCTTAAATCAAGAGATTTACGAAAATGGAAACCTACCTCGTCTGCCTTTCAGTTTGATTCCTCTCTTCCTAAATTACACAACGATAACAAGAAACAATCAACTTTAATGCTTTTAAAATAGAAAGGGGAATTCATTTCACCTTGCGTGAACGACTAGTAATTGAACAAAGGAGTTATCGAACTTGGTCAAGATGAACTTACTTAAATCAAACCCAAATTTTGTAGTTTGTATAAGCGAGGAACATAATTTAACATAAACACGTACACGCGACAATTTTCTGCCTCCTAGTTATTCAATAAAATTTTTTCCAAGTGTTCAAAACTGTTGTTTCATCATGACATTTGCTTACGAGCAGCTGTGAGTACAGCGGACGGGAAGAACAAATGATGATGTAAAACAAGTTTAAAGGGGTTCAGACACGGTTTTCCTGAGTTATTTTCGCCGCGTACAAAATTACCTTTATAATGAAGGCAGCCTAAAAATAGTCGTTTACCAAGATGGTAAAACACCAAAACGATAATAATAAACCATAAAGAACCAAGGATAGTAAAGGATGGAGAAGATTAACAAGGATTACAAACGACGAACTTGAAAACGTTAGGCTTAACTTTTCAAGACGCGCAAACTATGACGTAGCTCTTTTAAGTAAATTTGGTAACTCCACAGTTACAGCTTTGATTAGGCATGGCGTCAGATTCTTCTACATCCAAAAGTTCTAATCGTGAAAGCAAGTTCACGTTCTGCTGGCTCACCTTCAAAGTTCGGTTGATTTTACATCCCTCTTTTTTCAAAGAGCTGAGCGTTGCCTTTAATTCATCCTTGTCCTCTTCGGATTTAGACAACCTTAAAGAAAGCGAGAGCAAACAACGCTTGAATACGAAGGCACCGCTCTGAAGAAATACACTAAAGAAAGTTCTAAAGCGAAGTCTGTTTATGATCTTCAAATAAGACAACTGCACTGTAAAGTTGTCAACGTTTGACATAGTAAAGACAAAATAACTTACTGAGCGATAGCCGCCTCCTTTCCTTTCTTGTGCTTCTTCGTCTGCCAGAAATTAAAGGAAGCAATATCCTTTAGTTTGTAAACATAAAACAGTTTTCCTTATTCCGTAAAAGGTCCAAAGTCCTCAACTCTCCTTCAAGTGGCAAGGAGTATTTCTACTCCCCCCTGAATGGGATGCTAGTCTATCGCAGGGTTCCCGCCAACAGTAAATTCGCCAGTACCCATTTATACACCTGGGTGGGGAGAGGCACTGTGAGAGTAAAGTGGCTTGCCCAAGAACACAACACAATGTTCGCGGCTGGTGCTCGCACCCGGACAACTCGATCCGGAGTCGAGCGCACTAACCATGAGGCCACCGCGCTTCCCCCTCGTCAATTTTGTACCTAACCTGCCATCAAAGAACGCCTGATCAATCAATCAATCAATCAATCAATCAATCAATCAATCAATCAATCAATCAATCAATCAATCAATCCTTTATTTGTTAGAGCAGGGTTATAATTACAAGACTGAATGAACAATATTGAATCGGCAGCCAAAAGGCTGATGTGGACCTGCTTATAATAGTAAAATAACTAAGATAAAAATAAAACAATAATTAGAATTAAAATACCTTATTAACTTAATAATAAATAAAATCATCTTTCTTGTTTGAAATCAAAATGACTTCTTTATTAAAAGAAAATTGGAGGATGTCTTTAGAACATTTTCTTAAAATTGATTTAAAGCCTTCTTTACTAATATTAGAAAATTTGACTATTCTATTCAGAAAATTCCAAATATTTGGTCCCCACAGGTTATTTTGCACCAGTTGAGACTCCCTTTGTTAAAAGACTCTCCTTTGGCGTCAATTCTCAGACAAGACAACACAGATTGTACTGACTTGGAACACAATTATTTTGAGCGAACTATATATATGTCTTGTTAGGGTTAGACTTCCAACCAGTGGCCTGAAAAGATCATGATCTGATTCCCGTCTAAGAATTTTATTTCATTTTTTCAGTCCCATGCTCGTGGAAATTTGAATACGGTTTTTTCGTTACAATAGTCAGAATAAACTAACCTCGCTTCTAAAGTGCCTAACTTCAATCTGGCGATCGCTAATCGTCCTGTTAAGAGGGAGATAAGAATAATAATGATAAGTCCATATTCTTTGCCGCGTACCCAGCCATTCAGCTTTCATTCTTGACTTAAAGATCTTCAAGTTTTTAATATGGTTAAAAATAAAGCAACAGAAGAGGGTGTTAGTCCGATTAGTTGTACAATTCTCTGATGATTAACTCTAACTTCACGTTCACGGAATTCGCGAGCTTCACGAGTCTCGCGGGCTTTGCAGATATCTCGGGCCTCGCGTGTTTCGCGTTTTTTGCGGGCTGGTGGTTAACTTCATCAAAAATGATAAAATGGTCATATCCTGGAAGAAATTACTTTTCAAAAAGGCCGAGGATTTAATGTCTTTTACTTAGTGAGTCCAAATCATACAATTGGTGAAGCTTGTTGCAGCATACAGCTGTTTCGGCAAAGGTTGTCCCACAAACTGTAAAGTGTACGCGACAAAGCCGATTAGTATTATGGGTCATAATAGCTTGGAGCTGTTTGATTGAGGTTCACGGTGTTGAGCAAGAGGGAAAGAGAAGGCATGAATACACGTATTTGTGCTGTTTCCTTTTCTGAACGCTGAAATACCTTGATCTTCAATCAAGCAACTGTATGACCACCGTTACCCCAATACCCTTCGACATTGTCGAGTTCGCTTATACGCTTTTGTAAGACAACCTTTCTCGAAACAGCTGTATAAAAGCCCCGTCCACACTATACGCCGGAGAAATTTGAAAACGGTGGTTTCACTCTGAAAACGCATCAAATGTTTTCTATCCACACTTCGCTTGAGAAATTTAAAAACGCAACAATCACCGGTCATCTTGGATTTGTGTTTGAGGAAATATCTGGCAGGGAAATCACATGACCATCGTGACGTCATCGTTTTCGGAAAGCTCCGTTTTCAAAAGTCTTCTGTCTAAAACCCGGCGTTTTCAAATTCCTCCGGTTTGATGAGCGTTTTCGAAAAGCTCCGTTTTCGTGACAGATTAGTGTGGACGGAAGGCCTAACCTTAGAAATAACTGAAGCTGCGTTTTTAAATTCCTCTGACGTAGTGTGGACAGGGGCTAAGAGAAATCTTCGTGAAGTGTTACTAACACAAATTGCAGTAAAACAGCAATTACTCTCCCAATCCCCGTCTCGTGGTTACAGCTCTGGAGTTTACTATCTGAACTTCACAACAGCCACCTCCCCTCAGCCACAAACTGTAATATTCAGTTCCGGTTTCACACTGTTCGCAGTTCCGGTCACATGACCGAAGGTGTGATGAGTCCGTATAAGTTATTCGCATGCTTGTGTGTATTTGCATATTCTTCTAGTTCTTCGAATCTGCATGACATGATGTTCTAAAACGGATCTCTTGACTGGTTTATTGGTTCATTGCTACGACATGGTGTCAGGTCTTACTTGGACAGCGTTTTAACAATCCGACCTCGCTATCTAAGACACTTTTTCCTTCGTGCTAACTGACCACAACTCTTTGTATTTTATTTACAAATCGAGATATTGTCTTGCGTTAACCAACAGTATAACCAGGTGGTATGGTTTCTACACTTACTGTTTTTGTTTTTGGGCTTGAATGTTTAGTTCGTGGGATGCTTCCTTTTCTCTGATCAAGGCTTCCTGTACCTCTCTACAGAAAGAAGCAGAAAAACAACAGGCTCTTGATTCCTTGTTCAAAGTTTACTGGAAACAGAAACTATCAAATATAGAAGGTTCTTTACAGACATAGTTATAGACCAGCTTTAACTTCCAAATGAACATTTTTTGGCCTGAAAGGGGATCGTCCAACCCTTAAGTTTAGCATATTAGGGAATGCGGCTGTTGTTTACACTCTTCTGATTAAAGGGACAGTTGTACAAACACTGTTATTGGTCGATTTGGGAATAGTGTCCTTTGCTGGATGAGGAAACTTAATTATTTTATAATCAAGCTTAACTGTTAGATATTGTTGTAATTGTTTCTCCCGCCTGTTTTTAAGCAGCTGTAACGGTGATTAAGGTTTAATTTTTTTTCTACCTTACCCTCATTTGGTAATCGCAAGCCAGCTGTATTAGAGAGAAAAGTCTCAAAATACAACACAGGTTGTCACGTTAAAAAAACTATTCTCCCAAGATCGGCTTTTGTCTTTTTTTTAATCCTTATTCAAGAATTTTACATTTTAGTTGAGACGGACAGTTATTACTCACTCAAGTTGCCTTCGAAGCTTCTCCATTTCGTCTTGCTGAGACACTGCAAGGTCTTCTAATTTCTACAATTTAAAATGACATTAATACGCAAATGCGAATCCCATCAATTTCTACTCCTAACAGCCTTTGATTTGTAAATTATCTTCACTTTCTCAAAACACGACAGAAAGGCTTCACTCACCAGGCTGTCATTTTGGAAATTTTAGATTAGAGTTCTCAAATAGCTACCTAAAGACAGGTTTTACTCCAACCTCGTTCCCAGGACCTCTCATTTTCCCGACCCCTCCTCTCTCCGGGTTTTACTGAACAACTTTGAGTTGCAGAAATGTGTTTGGAGGTGCACAGCTTATTACTTAAATCTCAGCAGCATTGGCTGTCAGCGGTTCTACTTAGCAGGCTAAGCCCATTTTCCTCCTCATGCTGCGGGCACCAATTGTTACGTTATTAACATTGCTAACCTTTATCTTATCTTCGTCACTTTTCTTTTTTGGCGGAGTTGGCCACCACTCGCTAAAGGATTGAGAAAAAAAAGTCATGAATGCGTTATGTAGCAGAGATGTCAAATATTTAGCGACACCGTGGAGTTTTTCCTTGGATACATGTAGCTCAGTAAAAACGCCGCGTAAACAAAAGAAAAAGAAAGAAATAAGAGCTCATGTGAAGTGCGAAACGTTTGAGAGGAAAGTAAGTTCTGTTTTCAGACGTTAAGTGTTTGGGTGATTCCGCTAGCGCACTAAAATGTCTAAACTTAAAGGTTGCAAACTGACGATAGGAGAAAAAAAAATTGATTAAAAAATGACAGGTTTAAAGAAAAAAAGGCAGAAAAAAAAAAAAAGAAAAGAAAAAAAGACCGGTATGCTTTGTTTTGCAAATTCAAGAGAAGCAAACTCTGTTGAAGGCAACCCTGGAAAAGCAATAAAAACGTTTTATGTTTCTGTCGATTTCGGAGTTGTTGACTTCGTTCAGTATCAAAGGCAAAAGTACTTCATTACGTGTTGCTTTACCTTTTACGCACTTGAACTTTTGTAGTTTTCTTCTCTTGGCCGGCAGCCTCCTTAATTTCCAAAGCCTGGAAATGACCAAGAACAGCATTTCAATCATGATTATTGTTTCTTATAATCCCTCAAATATTTTCGCTTGCGCGCGATTGGTTTAAACGAGTCACGTAACGGAATATTCCCCAGCTAAAACTGGGGAATATCCGAGTGATATTCCCCAATTTTCAAAGCCGCGCGTGTTGGGAAAAATATTTGTATAGGTAATCATACGGTTTCGAGTTCAATTTGGAATTAATTTGCACTTGTGAGACTTTCAAAATGCTGAAATTGTACGAGCCGCTTCGGCGAGTGCAATTTCAGCTTTTTGAAAAACTCACAAGTGCAAATTAATTC